CTTGATGGCATGGATTGGGCAGCATGTTCCCCAGGGCCTCTGAGCTCGCTGTGCTGGGGCTGAGGGGGTCCCTGCAGGAGACTGGCTGCTGCACACAGCTCTGCCATGGCCATGGAACCCCCCTCTGATGGACACCAAAAGGATCACAGAAACAACCACTTTCCAAGAGAATCACAGAATAGTTTGGGCTGGAAGTGACCTTTAAAGACCATGTAGTCCAAACCCCCCTGCAATGTGCAGGGACGCCTTCAACTAGATGAGGTTGCTCAGAGCTCCATCCAACCCGACCTTGAATGTTTCCAGGGATGGGACATCTGCCACCTCTCTGGCAAGACGTCCCACCTCTCTAGACCTCAGCTCTCACATAAGTATCCCCTGATGAGAAAGGAAAATAAAAATAGTTATGACCAAATTATTCTTTTAAGGACATCCTCTGGACATTGAGGGAGAGATAGAAGCATGAATAGAGAGTCACAGATCAGTCAGTTGCTGTGCACAGAGACTGTATTGATGGACATGTTAAAAATATCTGCACGGCTGTAAGCCAGAAACCATTTTGTGTCTAAAAAGGGCTTTCATTTCCTTTTCCTTTCTTTTGTTTTTTTTATCTGTTCCATTTTTTCTGAAGGACCCTATCCACGATCCCCATGTCAAAGCTTCAAACTTTGTTGTGAGCCAGGGAGGGCTTTTTATCTGCTAAGAAGCTCACAACAACATTTTAAATGGTGTGAGACAGGCAGACTTGCAGGTAGAATCCTGGTTCACTGCTGCAGAGCTCACTGCACTGGTGAGCAGAAAGCTCAGCACATGGCCTCTCTCTCCCGCTCTGCAGGGAGCTGGTCTGTCCTGGGGAAGAGCAAAGGGTTAACATATACCAGAATAGGACAGGAGCTTCTGGGAATTATCTGCTATGTCTTTCCCTTGAAAACAGGGTCTTAAATTGGATTTTCCAACTAGTTGAGCACTATCATAGCCATCCACTGCATCCTCTCCTATTTTCCAGAGTGTAAGAATCCCATTCCCTACTTTGCCAGCTATGCCCTTGCCAGTCTAGCCCAGGAGATGGCTTGCTTTTGCTGCTGCAGGAGGCTGCTCCTTACTCAGATTTGTGGAGCTGCATTTCTGCTGCTGAGAAATCATTCAGGAGGCTGATTTCAGTGACAGGTACACAGTAACATGCACGGATCTGCTCGGGAGTAAATGTGATAAATAATTTATACATACAGGGTACAACACTACAGCATAATCTATGCTAGATGCAACAAGAGTATTGTGAAAGAAGTAGAGGAATATAAGGACCTTTTTCCTAGGAGCTACCAATAGTTCAAATAAACATCCAGGGAGTTAAACATTCCCTTCAAATCTGCCAGATTTATTTCAGCATATAAATAGAATGTATTCCTCAAAATGGATATAACAATCAGAAAGCTTTTATCAAAGACACCCAATTAGGTTTTTTGCAAAATTTCAAGACATAGTGTGCAGAAAGCAGGTAGATTTTCTCTGGCATAATGGTGGTCCTTTATGAGACATGACAACGGACTCCCTAATTAATCTTCGAAATGTCAGAGACTGCTGGAAATAATTGGGCCTAACAGTTCAAGGGCTAATTAACTTTAAACCTTGAATTTGCCCCTTCAAGGTCATTTATTTCCTTTTTTTATACAACTTTTATTGTTCTGTAGTGTGTTGTGTTCATAGCTGCTTTTCTGGACATGAAGATCAAGACTGAAGGTATTAGGTGGGGTGTGTTGCACTTTTGAATCCTCAAGGAGTTTCCTGGCTTCACAAGAGAAAAAAGCTGATGTGAGCAGAGGGCTGGTCCCTGGGGAGCAGCTCAGTGTGGGAGATGCTGGCTGCAGCCCCCTGAGACATCAGCAGTATCCAGCAGCAGGGAGCAGGCAGTGTTCCTGTGGCTGGGCGTCCTGTGGAGTGGAGCCAGTGTAATCCATCATCACTGCTGTCCCAGCCAGGCAGCAGGGAGCAGTTTTACAGGCCCCAGAGCGCTGCAGTTTCACAGCTCAGCTTTATGTGAGCAGCATTATGTGTGCTACAACCTGCTGTCTCGGCAGCCTCCACTGGCCTCCTGCATCAGGTCTCCTGGGGCTGGTGTCCCATTTGTTTTTCTTGCTCTGCAGTCTCACTTGACCCTTGGCTGAAAAAAAAAGATAAAGGACTTTTGCAGCAGAGGCTCCAAATCTCCTACTGCCCTTACCTGTGTTGAATGACCTTGTGGCTACTACTAGAAATGTAATAGTAATACTAGAAATGCTTGAAAAGCCTTTTCTCTGGTTGACAGGCTCAGTCTCTGGTCACTCATGGATACAGAGCACGTTTTCATGGCAGCAGTGTGTGCATAGACTCCTGAGTTGACCCCTGCATCTCTTTGGCTTCCACATGGCAAATTAATAAGGACAAATGAGGCAAAGAGCTGTTTGGGAGGCAATCCCTACAGGTATACCTGAGCTGGGAGCTGCAGGTCTCTGGCAGCGGGAGCAGGGTCCTGTGCCAGCTCCAGAACCTCTGCTGGCACTGAACAGATCCCCTCCAGGGCACAAGGATGGGCAGTAGCCTCCCTCCACTACCTCCTGCTACTGGCAGTGAAAGTCACAACTGCCAAATGATTTCGATCCCTTCCTGCCTCAGACATAGCCGTGCTGGTTACATTTCCCCTCAGTGCAAAAGACTGTGAAGAATGGGAAGGAAAGCTGATTATATGGTAAACTATTCTGGGGGGGAAAGAGGGTTTTCATCTGTCCAGGTATGATCAAAACAAGGTTGCGATTCTGGGTGACTGAAGTCAAACCTCAGCAGCAGCCATCTCCCATCCAGCCATTAACTTCAGGCACACAGAGCTCATACCTGAGCAGAAGAATCATCTGCTCCAGTGATCGGGGGCTGGAAAAGCTGTATCTGATTTCCTCACTCTTTTTTTTAATCCTCATTTCCTCTCCACTAGGCTTTCTTACAGCTGCTGCACAACCTTCTCCAGACAATATCTATGCTGTCTGTCACAAGCGTACCAAGATGTCCCTTGAGTGTGGTACCTAGTGATGACTGACAACCGTCATTAAGCACTACTCCTCAAATGACAAGGCTCATTTTGTTAACAGGATTGCATAGATTCAGCCTGCAGTCTCAGAAGAGGGGAAAAAATGCCATATGTTCACATAGGATTTATACAATATCTGCTTTTGCAGTCCCTGTAATTCAATAACCCAACAAAATTAAGAACATATGATGATACTAACCATATATTTTATGTATTTTTATTCATTTGCTTTTAAGTGTTCCATCAAAGAAAAGAATGTTTGATCAGATTCAGGCTGTTTTCTTTCACTAAATGTTATCCAAGTCACTTAAAGTTGTCTGAGCCAATGAAGTAGAGGTGAAATGTCAGTGGAGATTAGGTTTCTGAAAAGTTGCTATCTTACAGTAAAAGAGTGATGGTGGTGGTGGAAAGCAAATATAATGATCCAGAGAGCAAATGGCAGAATGAATCCTTTCCGTACAGAAATTGCAATTTTTCCTCTACAGTTATGACTTCTTTTTGTTCACACTCTTCTAGGAAGGCCATATGAAAGCACTATTAATTTCAGTTTTTCCTGGTCACCTTCCTATCCTGTGTTGAATGATGCTGTGATGACAACACTTCAACACCACCAAATGAAATCAGCTCCTCTATGAATTAAGCTACTTATTCAAGTAAGGGAAGTCAGGGGTTCATCAGACACGGGAATCCAATGTCAGAAGTAATAAGTCTTTTGTTCAGGCTTGAAAAAATCCAGAAATGTAAGGAAATCACCTTCTCCAGCTTCCTTTCCCCAGCATTGCAAACAAGGCATATGGTGATATCTCAGGAGCTGGTGCTGCTGAAAGAGGGGAAATTACTTTCAGCAAAGAGCTTCTTGCCTCTGTTTGCATGGCTGAAGCTTACCTTTATCCTTACTTTAGTCTGAAGCCCCTCCATGCCCTTGCCCCCAGTTATCCTGCCTGGCTCTGGCAACCAGGACAGCCTGGAACCTCCTTTGTGTGGGTAATGGAACAAACCCACATTGGGTGCTCTCATGCAGCACCTCAGTACGTTGATTTTTTTCTGCCTCATGGCCGTGTCCTTTGTCTCTCTGCACAAGCTGTGCCACATGCAGAGATAAAAGTCAAGAGAGGAGCATTTCTCTGCAAAGATTTTAGTATTGGGGTGGAATGCTTCTGGAATAAAAAAACTAATTTGTTTTCCTGAATGAAGTCCAGCTCTGACAAGACAATGAGTCACTCCAAAACATACAGGTAGTTCTAGCAGCTGAGATTAAGGAATTTTGTAGGCCTTTAGGATCATTTTCCTCCTGACTCTGTGTGAAATAGTGCTCACATTGAGCCAGCTTTCACCTTTGAGCTTAGCCCTATTATTCTTCTGAAAGAAGTTGGTTTTCCCCTCCCTGTCACAGGTGTATTAGGAGGAATTAGGGGAAAGATGCGGGTATCTGGGCTCATGACTCTAAGTGTGAAGATTGGCACACTAGTAAGTCCTTCCAGGTACAGATAAGCATGCTTTGAGCTGACTGCAGTAGAACTTTATGTGCTCTGGAAATAACCAGGGAGGAGAGTAGCTCTGTAATCATGTCTCCAGAAGCATTGTGTCTGTCTCTGAGTACTTGTACACTTTCTTTCTTTGCTCTTCATCAAATCCATGAGATTTTATTTCATCCATGAGCAGAAACAGACAATTTTCACTGTGCATGCAGCAATGAGTAGGACTGGTAATATTTACTCTGCCTGATGTTTCTTTCTCTGTTTTATAGAGCATCCCTGAAGGAGTGTAGGAACAGCAATGGACCTTCTGCTGCTGTCCCCAGGGAAAGGAATGGTTTTGTAGACATATTTTGGCTGAAGGAGACCCCAGAATTTCCTGTAGTGCTGTGCATCACTTTCTAGTAAGGTGCTCAGACAATAGTCTTTTCCTGATGCCAACACTGATTTGTCCTTTCCCTCTCTTCCTGCAGTCCAAGGACAAATCTGGAGGTAACCAGAGAAGGCTTTCTCTTCTCCACGCCGGAAGGCATTTGGGGACAGTGCTGGGAGCCAAAGCCAGCATGTGGCCTCTCCGAGTGTGAGATGTGAAGTTCAACATCAGGAAGAAAATCCTCATGGGTTCCTGTTCCTGAGTCTTATTACAAAAGTAAGCCATTAAATTTTCTGCTTTCTGTGTATTTTGATTTTTAAAAGGCACACACACTTTCTGTTTTCAAAGTGAGAAGCAGCAAGAAGTGGCTTTTGAGTGTTGCTGTCTTTATTTTCAAGCAGAATATTTTAGCTTCTGTATAAGGATACATTGCCAGATTTCACTATACAGGATTAAAAGCTACCTGTGGCTCTGCACCATTGCCTTCTCTCTGACTTCACTGTGTATAGGTGAGACCATTATTTTCATTGTGTACAAGTAAAAGCTTATTGGTACAGTGAGAATTTCCAGTGATTAATGCTGGAAAGGTAAGACATGGATCCCTTGATGAGATATCACTGTGCTCTAGCAACAGTAATAACTCGCTTTGCTATTGTGTGCAAAGGGGTTCGCTGTTCTAAGAGCAGTAAAGTGTTTTGTTGTTCAAATATTATGAAGGTTGTTTTATTCAGATGTACTGGTCAAAATCACTTGAGCACTCTGTTGTTCCCAGCTCCAGGCTCCTCACTGCTCAGTGTGCAGCTGGAGGGGATATTTTCTTTTTTTTACATTATCTGCAAAGCAGGAATGATCTAGCAGCAGGAATACCACATCTCAGCTGAAGGGCAGCCAGTCTTTAAAATTGATCTGACATGACACAAAGCACTTGGATTTTTGGAAAAAGAACAATAAACTCTGTTGAGGGACCCACAGCCACTCATTTTGTCTTAAGATTAAAAATTTAAGGTTGGGATCCTTACCACTTAAATTTAGCTTTTCAGGAGTCAGGCATCTAATCTTAGCCAGCCATGTTGGCAGCCTGTCTGGTCAGAAAAGAGATGGGTTGCCAAAATACGGTTCACCCCTCTGAAGACAGCTACCAGAGGAGAGGGGATGGCTTGCCCTCTGCTCTTGCCTTTTTTTGTAGTTCATTTGAATCTTAAGGTAAACACCAACCTTTCAGATGGCTTTGAGAGGAATCCACTCCAAAGTGTTCAAAGATGCTGTAGAAGACTTTTCTCTGAGGTGAGGAACTTATATTTTCTCCATGTGATTATGTTGTTGGGGTGTTTTTCTCCATGTGATTATGTTGTGTTTTTTTGACCAGCATACTTCAAACAAATGTGAAACCTGTGAAGAAACTAACAGATGGGGTTTTTTTCTGGCTTGGTTTGTTTTCTTCTAACGTGTGCCAGTATTTTCCAAGGGAGGTGTTTGATCTGAGACAGGCTTGTATGCCAGAAAAGGTCTGCACTGATTCTGTAGAACACAGAATTTTGGTTCCCCTTCAGGAAAGAGAGGGTGGTCACAGACCTGAGAGCAGGAGGATCAAAGAATAGAGTCTTAGCATGTCCTCTGCCTTTTGTTCATTAAAAAAGTCTACCTAATACTTAATTTGGTAGATTAAGAAAAGAAACTATCCCTGCAAAGCTGGAAACATGCTTCCTTATGCCACTTGCCAACAAGTCTCTACAGAACCTAATTTAACATATTCATTTGCTCACAAAAGTGCTTGAAGAAAAACAAATGTCTTCTACAAGGACAAAGAAACACTCTATTCCCATACTTTGTCAATCAAATTAATAATAAAGGTAACTGTATCCTTCTTTCCTTTATTTGCACATGTATAATTTGATTCTGTATGAGTGAGAGTATCCATAAAACTAACTCTTAACCAAAATACCCCAAATGTCTATCACTAGAAGACCCCACCAAACATACCAATTAATACTACAACCACACAAAATGTCCTGAGGGCTAAGCACCAGGTAATAGCACTTCCAGGCAATAGATACGGGGAAAATAAACAACTGGCTTTACTCATGCACACACATATATACTTCTAGAAATATATATTTTGATACGTGTATTTTTTATGTTCACCTGTCTGATCAGTACTTTTCCTTGGCTGCAGGACAGCTGAAGATCTCTTGTTCCCAGGAGGAGGAAGTGGATGCCCAGACTCTCTCGAGAGGATTTAAATAATTCAATACATGACAAGAGCATCCATCACACGTTGCTTTACCTTACACAAATTCCAATAGTGAGTGAAGGTCACAAATGGGAAGAGACTATCCCCATGAGACTTCTGACAGATCTGGTCACCTACTGTGTGAGAAAAGGGGAAAGGGTGTTCCAGAGTCCCTGTTCTTCACAGCTGCAAAGCCAGGACTCAGTCTGAAAATGTGAGAAGAAAACCAGACCTGCTACACTGCAAATCTTACAAGCAGACACCATGCTGAAACATCTAAGATGGGCTTAAACCAACTGCTTCAGCTTGAAATTTAGAACAGACCACCTGAACAGTGTGGCAAGCACATTTCTCTCCCTCTCAGGATTTTTCATAGAGGTGCACAGAGAGAAATGAAAGGGAAAACATTTTCTATTTCTGCTCCTTGTTTTTCCTATGTGGAATGTGTTTGGAGAATTGTTTACCTGGAGTGAGTGCTTGATTGGATTCTGGTGAGGATTGTTTGAGTCTGATGGCTAATCCAATCCACCCGTGTCTGGACTCTTGACAGAGGGTCATGATTGTGTTAGAGTTAGAGAAAGTAGTATGTAGTTTTAGTATCTTCCTTCTAATATAGTATATTAATATATTTTAGCATAGTTATAATATAGAAATCATTCATTGATTTCTGAATTGAGTCAGACATCGTCATTTCTTCCCATTGGGTTCGCCTGCATTTACAAGAGAACTGTTCACTAATTTCCTGAACTTAGTCGTCAGAGCAGGTGCTTAAGCCTGATTTTCAAGGTCATGCTGTGCATGACCCGATGGCTTCCTTATGGCCACAGGGAGAGGTTGTCACCTCCTCACCCTTGGCCAGTAGAAGTCAATCCCAAACACAGAACACACAGCACAGACTTTCCCAGGATAGACGGATTCCTATGGGATGTGTCCCTGGGTGTCTCAGCACAGGCCAATAAAGTACTGAAAGCTGTGCTTAGTTTCCACACATAAAGATCCTGGGATTAATGATGTTATTGGGATGAAGCAAGTGCAAAAATATTTTGCTCGAAGAAGGAAAAGAAAGAGTGCGAGAATGGAGATCAGTGATGAAGAGACAGATGCACGCTCTGCTACCTGCTTAAAGAAAACAAAATATTGAAAACAAGATTAGACACATGCTGTCCAAACTATTCAGCTACTTGTTCATCAGGCTGTGAAACATTGCATCATATCATATTAAACTAATTAGAAAGTATTTTTAAAATGGGAAAACTACTCTCACCTTTTAAATTTCTTTTTCTGATAACTTGCAAGTCTATAGAGATCTCATCTCTACTGTCACTTTAAGTGCTTATTTATATCTGCTAGCATGTAAATCCATTTTAAGAAATCACCTGTCTTTAGCTTAGAGGGTTGAATAAAAGGCTTAAATGCCAAAGAAAACAGCACATTCATTTATTTGTCAACATTCCCTGATACAGCAAGCCTGTGATGCATCACTTGGATGCTTGTGGAGAAGGAATGGCACTGCAGACAGCAAAATGAAACTGAATCTAACAAAGCATGCCAGCAACAAAAAAAAAAAAAAAAAAAAAAAAAAAAAAAAAAAAAATTCCTTTGCAGAAGAATTCATAAGCAAACTCTTTAAATTGTTTCTTCAAACCAGCACAGGTGTCAGCCACCTTCTTGATAAGCTGCTACAAGCCATTGTTTATTTAAGGGTTCAACTGCAAAAAAGTAAAAACAAATGAGGAAAAGAAAAAATATCACAGCACTTCACACACAAAAGTTCAAATCCTACAAAATATTGCAAGTGGCTTATAAAATGCAGCTGACACAACGGTGGCTCATGGGTTCTTATGTACTTTCAGGAGGCACATGCTGCTGCTGTGGCTCACCAGGCAGGGGAGGGACAGTTCAGTGCTGGTTGGACCACAAAAAACACATAATGCTCAACTCTGCACTGATTTTCATCTCTACACCTGTCTCAATACTTGGGTGGCACACAAGGACTAAGCCAAAACCAGACACTAGAATGGGCAGGGTAGTGTTGGCAAATGGCTGCATTTTAACGAGAAAGTATTGCCTTAGTCCCTGAGTTTATGAATTCCTTTGCTACATGTTCCTCTTTATTGCTCTTCTCCATCCTACAGCCTGCAAGCTACTCTTAGTTAATACTCTCGCACTTCCCTGCTCATACTGTTTTTCTCATGTCTTTTCTAGCCTGACTCATATTTTCAATATTCTAGACTTGAATGTGATTAAGAGTCACCAGATGGTATTACTGGAGATGGATTTGCTGATCTTATTTAAACTGGCTTATTTGAGACCAGTTCCTTCCTGAAAAAATGTTTATGGCTAAGTGTGACACATTGCCAGTTTCAGTTGTGAAGACATTGAAGAGTAAAATCTATTTTGTGCAAATGAGGTTGTTTTTTTCAAGACTGATATGTGGGTTCTGCCTCTTGGTTATGTCTCTGCAAGCAAACAGCTAGGAGCCTTGTAAATCCAAAATCAATCTGTGGAGAACTTTGCCTATATTATTAAATTTGCTAGGATCCTAGAAAGAATTGTAAAGGTCTGTTACTCTTGGGAGGAGGAAAAGTCAAAGCAGCATGAGAGCTCTGCTGGATCACTGACAGCCTACAGGAATGTGCCGCTTTGAAAATCCGTTCTTTATCAAAAGGTTTGCAGGCATATATTGCCTGCAAAAGCTAAAATGGAAATGTATTTTTTGTTTCACCATGCTACACACAGTAATCAGGAGTGGAACAATTCAGTCTGATGAGAGTTTTCATTCCTTTTCTTTTAGGGAAAAAAGAAAATCTGAATAGCTTTTTGTTTTTCAGTACTTGCCTTGTTCCACCACTCTAATGTACAGCTTTCACCCGCTCTCTCAACTGCCACTTACACACTTTCTAAAGCACAGGGATATTAGTTTTTCATACAAAAGGGAAGAGGTGTTTCATAAATAAGGAAAAGCAGGAGTTCACTTTTACTGCAGTCATTTGTCACACAAAGGGCAGGGTGAGTGAACAAGATCTTTGTTTAGTGGCATTTTTAATACCCTTGAAATACTCTAATATTCTGTGTAACCAGTCTCTGCTTAAGAACTACCTCTTACTGCATCTACAGAGAAATCTGTAGCAGTGAACTAGGAAGCATACACACATTACATGCCATATTAAAGCTATGAAAAAAAAAGAGAACTAGGCATATTTTCTCCAAGCTTTCTTGTCCTCTTCTTGTTCTTTTTCAACAAACCTATAACATTCAGCTCCCTCACTGTGTCCTCGATGTCCTACATAAGGTTCTTTCTGAAAAAATGAAAGGTTTTCAGACCTGATGCAACTCTTACCTGGGTAATGGGACTGCCCATACAGTTTAATAGCAGCCAGGCTGCACCCCAAGGACTTGATGTGGCAGACTCCAGAGCACATGCTGTGATCACTGAGTAGCCTCATTTAGCAGAACAGGCATCCCATAACCTTCTCACCTCTCTCAGGAGAGCACTGAAGCGTTTCAAGTGATGCCATGATTGTAACGCTTCCAAAGTTACTCCATCATTCATCAGTTTGAAAACCGAGTTAATTAAGTGACAATAGAAAGTGTTGTGCTGCAAAGGAAACAAAAGAAGAACATTTTCTTGCCTTGAGGTAATTGTTATTTAAGCCTTGATCCTGCCAAAGTTTGTGCACCTGCTTAAGTACATTACCAGTTCTGCTTCTGTTAGGTAATTCCTTCAGCCTGTGCCCACTGGCTCCAGCCATGGTAGTACTACTTTCATGCTGAAGGTCCTGCATAAATGTTTGCAGCCTCCCTGGCATTGGATCTCAGCACTCTGGAGCATGAACAATGCCAGAGTCTAGGTAGGTTATTGTGGAACAGTCCTGAGCATCAAATCATGGTTAACTTTCCAGCTGAGTAGGGAGCAGAAAACACCGTGCTGTTTGAGAGAAGTGAGAGAGATTGGAGAGAATTCACAAATATTATCTTCAGCTGTATAAAAATTAAGCATCTAGACTTTTAAAGGCTTTCAAAATAGTCAACAGAAGAACTTATCTAAGAGGTCAAAGTGATGAATGTACCTTGCTCCATAATGACAGATAGAGGCTGCAAAAGTAGTTTAGCAATAAAATCCAGTATTTTTAGAGGACTAGATTTAGATAAGTCCCACCCTTAGAATTATGCTAAAGGGAATCTAAAAATATGTCCTAAGTTTTTGCACATGGACAAGAATTGACATTATTGCTCCTAGTTTATCTCTTGTGCCTGCAGCTGGCACCCAAGGCACCAGCCCACTGCCAATGACAGACACAATATAAGTAAGCAGTGACACTGATGTCTGACAAAGCCTCCTTTTATTGAACTTTTCATTAAAGTATTTTTAATAAATTAAAAAAACCTAAGATTAATAAAAATGAATCAAGCTCTTTCAAAGCAACTACACATACATAGAACAAACTCAAACATGGGAAAACCTATCCACTCAGTCTTTCAGATTCTGTTGCTCTTTTGCTGACAGTAAACCAATTAGAAGACTTCTAGTGCTGGCTATTTTGGGAGCAGTTGTCTCTGCAACACAAATACCTATTACTGTCCACATAGGCCTTGGGACTGTAATAAGAAAGGGAAACTAGAATGAAATCAGGCTCTCTTGGGTTTCATGCTCATGATGAGCAAAAGTGAAAATAGAGAAACAAAAAATCAATCCCAACACTAGCAACAATCAGGACCTAAGTGACTGTGAGCTTGGCAATAACATGGAATTCAGCTTCCTATTAATTTGCCCAGTCCCCAATATTGTATTGCAAGTCTTGAATAATTTAGATTATATCAATGGAGTCAAATCATATAAAATAATTGTAAGAACTTAATGCAGTCCAAAGCCTGTTAAAAAAAAAAAATCCAATCTTCAAGATTCCATTTCCCAGAGCTACTACTTTTTTTTCTGTACAGAAAAAGGGTTTCCCCTTTAAATCTGAAAGAAAGAGGACTATTCATCAAAACAAAAAGCAGTTATTCAGTGTTTCATATACTGACAACATTCATCCTCAGGAAGTCTTTGTCGATTGTGCCTCACATGTATAGTAATAAAGTAAAAGAAACACAAAACTGTGGTGTCTCCATATCCTATGGATGACATGAGACTGTTGTCCCATTATGTTTAAACAATGCACCACCACTCATGGAGAGTCTCCCCAACAACAGTGACCAGTTACCAGAGGTCAGCCAATCTCTTTAGCCAATTAAAAATAGCATTTCTAGACACTGCTTCATTCAGATGTTGTTTCTAAACTAAAGACTAATGAATGATAGAAAATAAGGCAAATAAAATATTATATTACATTGACCTAACTTATGTAAACAACAATTAACTCAGTGCAGATTCTGGGTTGGGTTTTTGTTTCAGTTCAAGTGGTATACAGTTAGATTTGCATGTAATCTATCTGAGTGCTTCAGCTAATTTAAAAAGTGTTCAGAGTATTAATATGTATGTGTGCATACAGATTGAGAGCTTTATAAACATATGTTTAAGTATATATACACATGCATATAAGTAACAGCCTGAAATTACAGGCATATGAAGTCCTTAAATTAAAAAAAACCTGAATTGTTCCAATGTAGTACAGATAACAGATATGAAATTCAAAGAAGCAAAACTTATTTCTTACTTCAATTTAGTATTTTTAGTACTAATTTTATAAATAGTAAATCTGAGCTATAATGGAGCTCACTAATGTTTAGCTGCCCACTAGAGACCCTTACAGTAAAAACAAAAATGAACTTAGCTGCCTATTAGAGTAAAAAATAACCTGCTGCAGTCAGCAGGACAGAGGGATGATAAAACACAGTTGGTACCCCAGGGTCCCTGCCGATTCTGTCTCTGCACCACTAATAGGCTACACTCAGCCTTGGGCTGCTGTGGCTCATGGAAGGCACAAACAATAGCTGGGATTCTGGTAGCACCAACAAACAATCTGAGCTTTAGCCTTCATGTTTAACAGTTTTACAAAGTTGTTCTCCTTTTACAACCTTGATCAGTCTGAGACTGATACCCGATGCTCTTCTACTGTTTCTTACTGTTTTCTCTTTCTACTGCTTTTTCTTATGCTTTAGTGTCACACTAACCATACATTTTTCTCCATTTTTTTTCTAGAAAATTTCTTTTGTAGCATTGAGTTTTGCAACAGTCATTCCCCAAAGCCATATATTCTTGTTCCTTTTTCTGCAGAGATGTCATTTAATTTGATATGGCACTTTTCATGATCTTTGACCTCCCTCTTCTCTGGAAAATGTTAATAATTTTTGCCACCATAACTCTTGCAATCAGTTGTGTAGGACTTCTTAATTTTCACATATTTATTTCCTGATATTAAAGAACATTTTACTGTTATGTTTTGTTAAATTCAAGTTTCAAGTTCAGAGCTGTAGCAT